TAAGAGCGGAGTGAACTAGCCCTTCTATAGCCCAGAAAAATAAGACTTACTCATTAATTATCAAATAGGTTCCATCTAAAAACCTTAATGAATCTAGTATTTGATGATCGGTGCTGCACTTTCTTTTTGCAGCTGAACCAGTTGGTAATTTTCTTTTATTTCCTGTCTAATAGTCTCGGATGGTCTTCAATTTCTTCTTTAGCATTTCCACTAAAAACAGATCGTTACAATGAAGTTTAGTGATGAGGATTTATATAAATTAGAAAAGGTGATAAGCAAAAACAAATTTGGGTGTTTAACAGGTAGATGTCAGGTAGGTTTACTCATCTAAAATGGAACAGTTTTTTAACAGTGCTAGCTTTAGCAACACGGAAAAACAACTAGCATTAGCGGAAGGGCTATTTGCTTTCCGCATCATAAACCACAATCAAAGTTTCAGATCAATGGATTGTACGTCGCAAGTGATCAAAACATTATACGACAAAAAATATGCATGTGCAAGGACAAAAACCGAAGCAATTATTTGTAATGTTATGTCACCATATTCGTTTTCACAATTGCAGAAAGAATTAGAAAAATGCGCATTTATATCCATATATTCTGATGTTTCCAACCACAAAGATTTATAATTATTTCCCACAGGTGTTAGATTTTTTGATCCAGAAACAGGAATTAAAATTAGAATATTAGATTTTGTTTCATTGCCTGATGAAACTTCACGAAATAAAATTATTGCCCATTGTGCTGATAACACTAACGTAAATTTTGGTGGAAAAGCTAGAAGAGGCATCAATAACATTTTTACGAAACTTATCGAACATTTGAAGCAAAAAAATATTAGAGTAGGTTGTGCAGAGCACATTCTATACCTATACTATTCAAACAGCCTATGATGACAGCCTATGACCTATACTATGATGATATTTTTGCAAACATCTATTCGTATTTTTATATATATATTGTGCGTGTTAAAAGTTTGACAGAATTGTAATTCTCATTTCATCCCATTTGTCCCGCTTTGTCTCAATAAAAATGTGGTCACTTTATCCAAATAGCAAATGAAGGTGTGTTAACCCTGTGTGACTTATTCGCAGGCGGGTAAGTTTAACGTCTGCACTACGCAAGTGCAGCACAGGCAACTGGTCCAAATCTGTTTTAATATTATGGAATTTATTGAAAGATTGGAGGTTGCAACTTTGTTGCCATAAAGACAGTGACGTGCAAACTTTTTTTTTTTTTTTACTGGGGAAGAGGGCGAGCCAATACAAAGTTTGTTTCTTGACGTTTTATCAAAAAACAAACCCAAACAAATAGGCTTCTGCTGATGATAATTCCCACATATCCTGAAGCTTCTGTTCATCTCTTAAACTCATTAAAGTTTCTAGAAGAATATTTGAAACTTGATATGCTCCAAAAGCTTTGTAGCTTGGGGATTGTAGGGCTGATGACCGTTGTTCGCAGGGGAAAAATACTGATATTGAAGCTTTAATACAAAACAAAGTCTTCCGTTTTACCATCATTTTGTAAACCTGGATTCTCGATGAGAACTTTCAGGGTTTCGATAACCCTTTTATAATCGTTCCAGAGCTTTAACTCTTACTGCCCATCTTGTTGGGCATAGTGGCAACAAATATTGTGTGGCAGTAACCTCCGAGTCCAAATCAATGTCTAAAAATATTGCTTTTCTTTTTCTTGAATCGGGGATTAAACCTGAAACATCTTTCACAAGTGAAAGAGTTTCACCAAATAACTTACAGTTTCTGGCTGTTTCTTGCAAAGCCAAATCCAGAGCGTGATTGCTGCAATGGACGTAAATAGCCTTGGGCTGCTCATCAGTTATAAGTTTTTGCAATCCATTCAATCTCTCAGACATATTAGCTGCTCCATCAAAAAATAACCATCTAAAGCTGTTGAAATCTAATCCAAATCTTAAACGATGCAAAACATCTTTAATAGTTTGATGCAATGATTTTGCTGTAGTTTCAGCCGGGTTATAAAATCCATCGCACGTTCTTCAAGAAGGCTGTAAAGATTACCATCGAAAGATTTGTGGCCCCTAAAAGCTTCCCCAGATCTATCCACATACCTCAGTGAGCTAATAACTATTTTCAAAGCAAGCATTTTTTTGATCTTCCTTAGATTGCTTCAAAAGTAGATTACTTATAATGGTCAAAAATCCAGTTGACAAAAATTCTTGTTCCATTTTGTTGATAGAATTTTTAAGACCTAATTGATTTGCATCCACGCACTCAAAACATAAAACTGCATCTTTTTCTTTATTGTAATGCAGCCAATGGAATTTAGAAAACCAGGAGTGAAGGCAAGATCTATTCTGGGATTATTTCGGAAATTTGAAATCCGTTGATGGTTGGCATTTTATATCGCGAGGCTAAATATTTGTTTGCTGCGTACATTCTTCTATTTCGGAAAATTCATTGTCTTTGTTAGAATGTGTCTCCGTTGTACTCAGATGATGGCTCCCCTATATCCAGAGCTGCTCCCTGTTGATCAATATTAAGAGGTAAACTTTGAACCTCATTTACGATTAAATTTTGCTTACTTTGAGAAGTGTTAGAACTTTGCTAATACTTAACTTCTTGTTTTTTGAAGAAATCCATAAGTCCAGAAAAGTTGAACTGTGTTTTTCCTGATTGGATGACATCTGTTAAATTTTAAATATATAACTTATTTTATTTGTGCAGTAAACAATATTCAAATTCAAAAAACAGTAAAAAATACGTCACTAGATAAGAAATCGTAATCTCTGAATAAACACAGTTTTTAAATATATATGTACAAAAACTTAAACAAAATATATAATTACAGATAAATAAGATATGTACAAAATTTCCATGCATTTTCTGATTTTGTAACATGACAGATTCAACAATCAAGACCTTTCAATGTTGTGACATATGACACTGCATCTATATAATCTGGCGGGGTCCGTGTCCCTCTTGTCAACTCTTCTTTGAGACCACCGAGTCGCTCGTAATGGATTTTATATGCTGCTCTACCTGCAATAAGCATGTTTCTTTTCCCTTCATCTTCCACCTGGATCTCAAAGAAATCATGGAGAAAAATCTCTAGGTGGTGGGTTTCGGTTTAATTTGGAATGCCACCCTTTCACATGATTCGTTGTTCTTTCATTCCCACTATGAAAATGGTTCCAAATTTTTTTCTGAAAAAATACAAAAATAAGATATATCACAATTTATGGCAGTATTTTGAGTATTTTTAAACACTGATATGAGAATCATTGATTTTTATTTGTCATGGTAATGTTAAACATAAACTAACTCTGTATTGCATAGTACTGTTATATCTTATTTTTGAATAGAGAATAAATATATTTAAGGAATCAAAAATGATTTTCTAAAATATTGCGTTGTGAGAATTTTTAACTTGAACAAACATAATTTACTAGATATAACATGTAGAAGTGACTTTAGTTAATTTTAAAATTACTAGCGCGTTTACTATTACTGCAATAATAATCTTGATTAGCTGAAAGATAAAAACTAATTAAACTTAAAGGATTCACATCCAACAACATAACTAATCTAGACTTAATGTTTTTATTTAAAGAACTTAATCATAGTCAAGTTAGTTTACAATTTAAAAGAGTTAGTTTACTGCTACATGACTTACATATCAGTTAGGCAGATTATTTAAAGATAATCATTTTTTCTTTAGTTTACATCATATCAAAATAAAATAACAACAAAAGAAATTACGGGCACATAAAAATTAAAAAAAAGTAAAGGACTTATCCTAAAAGCGCGCGTGGCCGGCCACCCCCGCATCATCCCTCAGATCACGTTCACCCAGAGTTGTTAGCACATGGAATGCCTAAAAACGAATTGCCGCTCTTTTTCCCGCTCGTGTATTCATCCGCACCAAAGGGTGTCGCTACTATCGTTTTGACTTTTCACACCTGTGAAGCTATCCATTCTCAAGTAGGGGTGAAGGAAAAATATTGGAAGGGGTTGAAGGATAGGGGTGTAGGTGAAAATCGGATGGGGTAGTTGATTAAAGTAAAAATTCTTTAGTATTGTTGAGTAAAGTAAAAATTCTTTAATGTAGTTAAAGCAGGGATAGAAATTAGAATGTGACTATCAGATGTCAATGCCATTTAAATATTTTTTCTTCGTTGCAAAACAGTTAAGCTAGACGTAATTTCAAAACATTATCTTTAACCACAATATAAATTTTTTTTATCACAGAACCAAAAAACTTTCTATGTAAGAATGTTCTGAAATTGCCTAATACATTCCTAACATCTCATTCAGGGCTAGATGTCCAAACGATAAAATTAAAGGACAACGTTTATTTCAAGTTTAAACACGCATATTAATGTCTATATATTCAGAGCGCTTGCCTCCTAATCTATCTGGGTTTAAATCTCAGTGGTGGCTGGTCCACATGAATTATGCTCCCAGCTCGCACTGACCACAAGGCTGTCATCAAATATTTTCAGTGGTAGACGGAGCATGGGTTATAATCTCTTACTGCAGGCTAACTATGGGAGGTTTTCGTAGTTCTCTCCACGTAATGCAAATAGGAGTTAGTTCCTTTAAAAAATCTTCGACTAAGTCTAGTTTGTCTAATACTTTATTCTAATCTTCTGCGCTTCAAAATTACAAGGCTACAGAGTTGACCATTGGCAGTAGTAAACTGAAAATTGGGTCGGCTTTTTCAACAGGCAGTTATAAGATAAATCTATGACTCATAGCGAATTTTTAGTTCCCCCCCCCTAGTTATAAAGTAATAAAATAATTTCAAAAGGGCTGCCGAACCCTACATTCTTCTCAATCCATGTTTTGATTAAAATTTGAAATCAGTAACTAACTTAAATAATAATAGTTAACTTGGTTTAAATGTAATCTTAAAATAAAAATTTTGAATTTAACTAAGAAAAAACTCACTTTTCAAATAGGACGTCCACCTCATTCAAGTATGTCTTATCCAAATATGTGTACATATCAATCGCTTGAGGCACATATTGGGAGGGATCCTCCTGCTTTATCCAAAGGTAGGCATTACTTACTTCCTCGGGTGGTACTAGAGGAAGTGCCGCAATACGCCTGATCCACCTTCTTATTTGTCCACAGTTCTGTAGTGCCTTACTAGGCCACGTCTTTGAACCTATAATGAATTTTTATTGGTAAAATAATAAATTGGTTAAATTTATGAAGCAGTTTCTAATATATTGTCCAGTTGTTAAAGATTATTTTTTAGATCCTCTGGCAACAGAATTTACAGGGTCATTGTAAAAATGACAGCTTATTTTAATTTATATGAAATTAAATTTAAAGTATAAATTATTCAAAAATTGTACACAAAATTCTTTTGTTGGTTAAATCCAACTGTAATTTGATAAAGCTGTTTTTAAAAACTTGAAATTAATTCTAATGCTCTGAAAATCCTGAAATCAAATAATATGTTTGCTCTCTGGTACTTGACGAAGGTTCTGACAATTCAGCTTTATAGTTCAGAACCTCAAAGTCATTGGTTTTGATATATCAGTATAGATATTTAATCAAAACCAAGTTGTAGGTGCGATATAGCCACAACTGGCTCTTGCGCCAATAACTAACTAATTAATTATAGTTTAGATGTGAATATGTTAAAAGATATTTTAAAAAAAGGGCTACAGGGTTGACACTGGTAACTGAAAATGCAAAAAGTAATGACTAATAAAATTCAAAATTTTATTAAAAAAGATTGAAATTAACAATTTTTTATAGCATATTTTTTTTCTTCAGTTTTCTGTTGAAAGGGAATGCAAGGTATGTTTTTTCCTTCAATATAAATAATTTGAAATGTAAGTCTTAGTGGTAGTTACAATTGAATAATTAGAAGTAGTTACAATTGAATTGATACTGCAGCTAAATAAAAATCTCTTAAAATTGAATCTTATGCTAAATAGTAGTCTATTTCTTTAATCTTCCAACTTAATATCATCTGAGAAATACTTTGCAAATTAAAATATATACATTCAGAATAAGAAAAAATATATGTTAACGAAATTCAATTTTGTAAATGATTCTATTTACTTTCTCCATATGCTTTGTCCAAAGTGTAAGAAGCTGCCTGTCACCGAATTGTTAGTGAACTCTTCCTCCAGGGCTTTCATGACTGCAATTTCAAAATGCAGATTGCTGGGTTAAATGCAAGTTCTGCATTGTTCGTAGCACATTTAATGGCTTGAAACACTTTTTTGTAAGTTTCTTTCCTCTTGTCTTGCATGAGGCAGTACACAAGAGGAAAGATTTCACCCATAAACCGTGAATGGATAGTGTACAGTTGTTTGAACAACCGGGGTACAATTTTAAATGTTCCATCCATCCACAGTTTATGAGATGAACATAGCAACTTCAAATTTTGAGCTGTACAGAATACCTAGAAAAAAATTAACGTTATAAAGAATGTATTGATAATAAGAGAAAATCAACCTATTTGTCTTTTTCTGTATTTGTAAATTAGAATAATTTTCTGATTATATATCAAATTGTTTACAGTACTTATAATGAATTAAGTCTTCAAAACCGAAAAATTCATAAATTAAAGTAACAGTGCTATTTAATGTTTTTCTTCGTTAAAACTTCTATCTTCATTTTAAAGGATATAAGTGTACAATAGTTAATATGCATGCTCTTAAAATAATATTTTCTTTTGAAGTGTGTTATCTATAGTATCCCAATGTAATGAGACTATTGTAGACTAAAAATTATACAATCTAACCTTGTTAAATGAAAGTTCTCGCATAAGTTATGATATATTAAATTTATAATACATTTAAACTACAATTTAATGTTATTTAAATTTGCACAATTTTTTATTTTGTCATAACTTTTAAAGGTAAATATCATTTTTTTTTCTTCATTTTTTTTAAATTCTTTCTCAAAATATTAACCCTTTAGCTAAAATTTCACCAACTCCTTGATACATCTTTTTATTTATAAAAAGTATTTTCATTTTAATATTTACCAAAAATCTTTCATCTCCGCTTCTATTATCCACAAGCAAGAAATTATTTCTCTTGATGCTGCACCATTCTTCAGATAGAAGTAACTCCTCTATAGCTTAAGACAAAACAGGCCTCGTCTCATGTCTTGCTTTATAAAGCCTGTTTTTGATCGTGTTATATGATGGAAGGTTGGCAGCATTTTCCACTGAAGTAGCTTCTTTTCCAATTTCTTTACTAAAATTATGCAAGAAATAAAATAAACTCTATTTCAAAAAAATAAATATACAAGTGTTTTGCTAAAATTTTGATATCTTAAAAATTCCAACTCTAAAAATTTGTTTCCAATTGAAATTCGAAATAAAATAAAGTTCAGATTTTCTAATAAGATAATTTAGAAATTTTACCACTAAAACCCTTTTTAAAAATTAGAATATCGCAGAGATCTTAACTATGCAAAAATAATAATAATAATTATTATTATTATTATTTAATAGTTGTTTACATTTGTTTTTAAATAGTTTTAATATTTGTTTAAATATTTAAAATAATCCCCATGTGACTGTAAAAAAGAAAAAAGTTAGTTTGTAATGCAAGGTTGATTGTTAATATATAGAATTCAATCAATATACCACCGAACCCTTTGTTAAAAATTATAATATTAAATAAAAATTGTAATAGATATTGGCTATTCAAAAATTTTTTTTTAATAACTATTTAAATTTCTTTTAAATAGTTTAATATTTGTTTAAATATTTAAAATAATTCCTATATCCCTGTAAAATATATCAGAAAAGCAAAGCTAACTATCTATTAAATAATTCCTGTAAAAATAATTTTAATTGGCTGAATGCTTCAAATGATTTCAATCAATGACAATTGAATTAAGAAATTTTATTAAAATTTCTCCAACTTTAAAATGAATATTAATCCAAACCTTCATTTAAAAAAATATTTTTTATACTATGTATCAGTTACAGAAAATAACATTCTTTGGGAGGAAGTGACGAAGTATTCATGTCCTAATAAATGTAATATCATAAATGTTTGCAAAAATGAAGTTTTCTTATGAGTTCTAGAAAAAAATTTTAAAAATGAGATTCTTTACTTTTAGAATTTTTTAAATACGATGTTCCTCTTAAAAGAGAATAAATTTTTCAAATTATTAATATCGCGTTGCTCAAACATATATTAAATTTAATGCAGACATGAAGAAGTATCATATAATTTAATTTTAAGACTAAACCCATTGTGTGCCTCTATGTCGATGTATTTCTTTTTCTTCTCAATTTTTTGAAATTATTGCACTTAATAATGAACATGTTAAGCAAAAAAAAAATTTGTACAAATTGTTTTATTTTTATAGATAGTTCTTGCCAAAGCTCCCTGACAAACTGGAAGTCATTATCAAGTGCTTGTAATAAATTTTCTACAATTAATAGTTTTCAGCATTGTGTTTAAAAAAAGCGAATGGAAAAATACCCACTATTTTCATATTTTACCTATTTTTATTATAAAAATCGAATACAAATAATTGAATTTCTGGGATTCATTCTCATAAAAATTAGAGTTTATATTTAGCGTTACAATTCTAGAAATTAAAGAAATCTATGAAAGAGACACGGGGGAAATAAAGAGTTTGTTTCCATAGCGGGAGCTTTGGCGCCTAATTGGTTAATTAGAAATGCAATCATGGATGACCTATTATTTTTAATTCGAGCCAGATATAAAAAATTTCATATTAATATATATATATATAAATAAAGTTGATACTGTTTTGGGATAGGCGTCGTCCCTTCAGCCACAACTCTCTTTTTTAAATTTTCTTCGAATTCCTTTTTGGCAATTAGCCCCTCAACGGACTCGTGGTTATGTTGTCCGACACGCGTTTATAAAACATCATTTACTAATGTTACACGCGCCGGACAAGAGTGTTGAAATCTCCAGCATCGCCAATAGCTGAATTCGTTTTTTCTATTTTTTAGATAATAGATTTCGTTATCCAAGATAAGGTTTTTTCCTCCTCCTGACGTTTGCAAGAAATATAAGGCCATTTTATATTTAGCAAAAGAAAAATAAACGAGGATAAGACTTGCGATTTTGTCAGAAAGAAAGGGATCTACATTTTTTTTGGATTCATACTATTGCAAAATAATTTGCTTAGAACTCGTACGTTTGTGGAATGGGTTGCTATAAGCATTGATTTCTACTCATGATATCGATACTACTAACTAGGAGTGCGAACGAAGTTTTACCCCCCATTATTTCGCAGTTTCGATTTCTCGAGCACGCACAGTCAATTCTTTCAGGAGAAAAAGAATATATTTTTACGTTATGTGCCCCCAAATTGTAATTCCCCACATTGGCGAAATTTGCATCTAGCCCTTGGCATGTCAATGACTACAAACATACACTAACCCCAATTCCCTACCCAGCCACTCCCTTTGAGCAATTGGAAGAGGGGGGTGTCAAACAGGTGCGAGGATGAAAACTACATGAAACCGGCTCAGGTTTGTAAGAGCTCAATACTTCATAAGTCATGACTTTCAAAATAGCGGGATCCGTATTGCGTTTATTTACACTTAGACATAAATCCAAATAAATTTGGAAATGTTTCAAATTTATGGGATTTTGGATTGGGACAAGATACTCAGGATCATAATTTATTCCGAGAGTGTTTTTCAAGTGTAAAACTCCCTGAAGAAAGCACCTTTGAGTCTTTAAATTTCTATTTAGGTCCCAGTTTGCCTCATTCCAAAGTGAAAAGCAACCAGGGACTCGGATGATCTTTCCAGAGAATTATAGCTTTCTCCTGAACTACAGATTGCAATGGTCTAACATCAGTCGCCAAAAGCGTAGCATCAATCGGAGTAGTCTTTACCACCTCAGTAATGATACGCAGGGACTGATTTTGAACTTTTTCCTAAGAATCAAGAACTTTTCCCCCACCACAATAAGTGGCTCGCAACAATAAGTCAAAAAGGGACGAATAAACATTTGATAAGTCTGTAGCAAGGTTCGTCTAGTGCAACCTCATCTTGCTCCAGCAAGGCGCTGGAGAATACTGAGTCTCTTCTGGGCAGGATCTTCTCTATATATAACAAAGAAGTATTAATTCTATGGATCGAAGATACAGATAAAACAAGTACATCAGTATCAGAACTCTTGATTAAAACTTTATCATAAAAAAGTGCTGCATGTCCAGCATGAAGGAACATTCTTGAATCAGCTTCTTCGTGATTACATTCAAGTTCTATAACATTCTCAACAGTAAGTTCATTTGAATTATTAAAAAACTGATGACAAATGTTTTCACGGGTGATATAAATTTCAATATTTTCGAAAATACAAGGGCTTCATTTTTTCCAAAAATCAATAAGTTCTTTGTTTTTGCCAGATGCTAAGAATTTCTGAAATTGTATAGGCATTTTTTGTTTCGCTTGATATACACTGGTTATCATAAATTAAGGAAAATTCACAAAAATCGCGATAACTCAAGAAATTACACATGGAATTTTATGAAACTTACCCACAATATACAACACATAGTAAGGTATTAAACAACATAAAAAGAAATTATCAGACATTAATAGTAGTATAGAAATTAGCACATGTATAAAATAAACAAATTGGAAGTATCGGTTTGCAATAGAAAAAGTACCTTTAATATGGAATATGATTGCCTCTAGAAGCAATACAGCACAAACAGCGATGTGTGATGCTTTCAATTATGCGGTCTATCAGTTCAATAGGAAGTGAGAGCCATTGCTCTTGTAAAGCAGTTGCAAGCGTGGCAAGGGTCTGAGGGGGCGGATTGATGGCAGATACACGCCTCCCTAGAGCATCCCAAACGTGCTCGATAGGATTCAAGTCCGGGGATCGAGCTGGCCACTCCATGCGAGTAATTGTTTCCTGTTGAAGATAATCATCAACAATGCGAGCTCTGTGTGGTCTTGCATTATCGTCCTGTAACAGGAAGCAATCACCAATTGCCCCGGCATATGGGCGCACATAAGCATCAAGGATGTTGTCTCGATAAACCTGAGCATTCACGGTTCCCCTTGGAAAGACATGGAGGTATGTGCGCCCTCCTAAGGATATGCCTCCCCAAACACAGACACTGCCTCTTCCGTATGCATCTCTTTCACGGATGTTTGATGGATGATAACGGGTCCCAGGTTCTCTCCATATCAAATAACGTCTACTGTCACTTTCTAGACTAAACCTGGACTCATCCGTAAAGAGAACAGGCCTCCATTGATCTGACGTCCAGTGGACATGTTGTCGGGCCCACTGCAAACGGTCTCTCCTATGGCGTGATGTGAGCGGCACGCAAATGGCTGGTCGTCTCGCATACAGACCACCTTCGTGGAGCCTTCTGCGCACAGTTGACGTTGACACCAACCTTCCGGTGGCTGCAGCAAGAGAGGATCTAAGATGTGTCGGAGTAGCGGTTCTATTCCTGCGTGCACTTAATGTCAAATATCGGTCATCGGCACTGGTCGTAACAGTTGGCCGTCCTTGACTGAACCTCCTAGATGCCGAATCTGTGGTTTGAAATTGCCTCCAAAGTCTATGAACCACAGATGGACTCACATTTAGCCATCTGGCCACTTCTGATTGACTCTGCCCTGCCTCTAGTCTCCCGATGGCTCTCCATCGTAGTTCTTCAGGCAAATGATGCCTAGAGGTCATTATTACGAATTGGCTATCTCAGATTTTCAATGTCGCAATCACAGTAAAATTTGTGTGCTTTCTCTCAAACTTGGACTTTTATGCTCCAGGCAGATGACGTAAGCCGAGTGCAGCGCCACTAATTTGCATATTGCAATTTTACTCAGCTACTCTTAGTGGACAACATATGCAAATTTTGCACGGTTTGGCTTACTTTTGAAAGAGTTATCGCTATTTTTGTGATTTTTCCTTAATTTATGATAACCAGTGTATTTTAATTAGTTGTACTCCAGCAATGCTTCCTCTCTTTCGTTCGGCTGATTTGATGTTCAATTCATTATAACTGTCAAATACAAAGTCAACACGGGAGCAGTTAGAGTTTTTTTGCCAGCTTAATTAGAGATTGCAAAATGTAGGTGGCGAATTCTCCAAAAGTGGCAAATGAATTTGGTGCTTGTTGAATAAAAGCCATTGCATCAGCAACAATGGCTGACTTTGTGTTTTGATATTTGTTTAAGTCTATAATATTTTTATCCGAACAATTTTCTAAATAATAAAGCAAAGGTGCTTTATTCTTGATGCCATCGTTTCACAAAATCAAGTTGTGGGAAATTTTTTTGAAATCTTCTTTTCAAACTATCATTGCGTTACCCATTAATGTCCTCGTTTTCATGCTGTAAAACAATTTGAACTAATAAAGTAGTCGATTTGTTCATCTCATAAATTTTATGTTTTTTAATAAATGTGGACTCGATAACATCAGTACAAAAGATTCTGAATATTTCCTACTTTATGTCAACTTCATTAACAGAAATTTTCTTGACACTTAGAAATTTAGTATAATTTTTGAAGCATGATCTGTGGTAATACATTTCAATGGCAACAAGGTCCTTGTTTTGAATGTGTAACAAAAGATTTTTATCATTTTTCTGTATAGCTGCTTGTAATAAGCTGTTATTTTTTGTTTCAGAACGACTCAAAGATTCAACTTTCCTTTTCCCTGAATACTTTTCCTTATTCTTCTTTACAGATCTACTGGTAAAACGGTGAATGGATAATAAATAAGAGCGAATAAAATCAGATATATTCAACATAAAATACCAATCGCTCGCAGAAATGCGAAAATTGAGGGATGGTTCATGATATAGTGCTAGCAAGCTTTGAATTGGTACGAAAAGCCCCTATAGCACTGTGAATTCCTTCGTGGTGAACTGTGTCAAGGTATCTTAAAACCGATTTTCTAGTAAATCCATAGTTAATTTTAGAACGAATGATACATACAGGAATCAAGGTAAATTAGATCTTTATTTATGATTAGGATAAGACGATGACGACATGTTTGTACATTGAAGGCTGGAAAACGACTGATCAGAATCGCGGGATATATATGTAACAGTTGGGTTGAATTGTTGCGCAGGGTGCATTTATACTGAAGATAAAAAATACACAACAATCCCACAGTTAAAGCTGTTTTTTTAAAATTTTTTTAAATATAATTTGGAAATTTATCGCGGTCGCCGTGAAAATTGACAAACCATTAGCATTATATAAAATTGATTATTTACCAAAATTGCGCCAAATACACAGTGATAAAATGCATTAAGGGTTAGGGAATTGCTGACTCAACCATCTTAAGAAAAAAAAACTTCTAATTTTTAAAATAAGCATAGTATAAGTCAATAGCGCATTACGTAAATAAATCGCAACTAATCATTTGAAAAACATTAAAATGACAACAAAAAAAAAAGAGTTGGAAAATTAATGTAACAATAATCCACACAAACCAGAGAAAAATTGCTTTTTCAACGATCAAAACTAAACAAATTAAAAAAATACTTACCTAAAATAAAGATAATTTATTTACCATACATAGAAATCAGAAACTCTTAATAAAAAATGTGTTGCAGAATAAATATTTTATTATTCAAACATATCTTTTAAAGAAAACTGTTTCATTTTCGGCATCTTATTTAAGAACTTTTCTTTAATCCTCTTAAAGAGTCATGATTTCTTGATCGGTAATAAAGTCTCTTTGTTCTAGTCCTTTAATGGCATTTTCCAAATACATTAACTAGATTGTCAGTAAAAATCCGATCTTCTGCTGGTTCTTCCTCACCGTCTACACTTTCTGTATCACTGCCCTGTTTGTTCAAAGCTATATTTTTGATTTGCTCATCTGTTAATTGAGACACTGTTCGGGCATCATCGTCTGGCATCATAATTCTTTCACACTATCTTTCTCTTTGTTTGGACGAAATCCTTCAAAGACAAGCTCGTCCTTATCATTACAAAAAAGAAATAGTTGATGGTCAAATGTTATTCCAAGCATCCTTAAGGGTTTTCTGGTCGACTTCTTCCCTCGCTTTTGCAATGTTCCATATTGCAGTCTTTATTGAATAAGACTTGTAATATTTGGCCACCATTTAAAGAGGCCAGCATCGACCTTAAGAATTGAGTTTTGTATTAGCACTTGAAGGACCTCAAGATCCATAGGCAGCAAAAATGAAGTGCAGTTAGGTGGTAAAAATACAACGGAAACATTTGCCCTTTCCATTAATAATGGTATTTTGTGGACAGAGCAATTGTCCAGGATTAGAAGTGGCTTTTTCTCTTCCATGCTAATCGATAGAAAATATTTTCTAACTTGCGGCACAAAATCGTTATCCAGTCATTCTTGTATGAGTTGCTGTGTCATCCATGCTTTTCGATTGGATCTATAATTGACGGGTAACATTTTAACTTCCTTTAGGATGCAAGGGCGAACACTTTTCCCGATTGCAAATAATTTGCATTAGTGCATACCCACAGCATTTGCACATGCCATAATAGTCATTCTCCCTTTACACTCTTTGACCTTTACCTCTAATACCTTTTTCAATGAATAAAATCATATCATAATCTGTTATTAGTTCTAAAGTTATTTTTGAATGGAATAGCATCGCATCACAAGAAAGAGCGGGAGCTGTGTAATACCAACATGGGTCCAAACGGTAAGTTTGTAAGCAAATCGTTTCGAAAATTTTCCAATAAATCTGCTAATAAAATTACATCGGTTTTAACATATAAATCACAATAGTTACCTAATGTTATGAATTGAATATTTGGAAAACATTTAAAGCATGTCCATAATCAGATTCGCTTATTTCTTCTTCGTAATTAAATTTTTTACTGGCAATTTGATTGATATGTGCCTTTCTCTAAAATTGCACCCGGCTGGTATACAAACATTGTTTGAATTGTGACATTCACAATTCTTTTAAAAATAATAAACATAAATTATAGATAGTCTGTTATGAAAGCATTAAATTTACCATAAGCTATTTTATCCAGAACTTGAAGCTGTAAGTTTCGATCCAATCTTATAAGCTCTTTTACTTCTTCGAGCTCTGGTGGATTTTTATCAGAAACCACAACTATCTCTTTTGCTGCACGAAGACTTTCACACTCTTTTTCAAGTTCTAATATTCTTTTTTGAGATAAACTTGCCACTGCTTGGGCTTCATCCTCTCTTTTTTGAGCCGAGAACATTCAGCTTTTAGTTCACATATCAGTTCCTGCTGGATGAGCATATCCTTGCCCAAAGTACCTATTAAAAAATTACACTCTAATGCTAAAAATATTGCATATTATAGAATTAAAAATTATTATAAAATAAGGGGAAAGCATTTTTCAAAATTTTCTGATGATTAAGAAGCATTTAAGGAAACATTCAACTATAGTATTCCATGGCTCTTGTGCCAAGAATTTACATCAATCAATCAACTATAATATTAATTACAGTTTTACAAAATATAAGTCAATTTTTCAGAAACTAATTATTTTTGCACCATATTTAAGTGAAAAATATCACTATGATTAATTGATAACAATTTTAGTAGCAATTAGTCTATTTTAAATCACCACTGAGGTAATGTGCCAACAAAATTTGAGAAACCATTTTAAACTTCTCGATTTTTTTCAAACATCCGTAATATGTTGTAAAATTTCCATGCTTGCACAAATTTGGGAAATGTCGGGGGGAATGCAGCCATTGTTACCAACGCTGACGACATATATTTTGATTGAAATTTAGCACCAAACAAAGATGTGAATAAAGCTAAAGTTGAAAAAAATTACCATCTTCAGAATCAGAGTTCTGTGGCTGCATAGACAATTCTTTTCTATCTTTCATTGCTTTAACCAACAATGTCTTCATCCTTTGTTTAGAAAAATCTTTATTTTCCTGCAATTTATAAAATGATTGTAAATGTTTTGAAACTGTTATGTGTAGTTGGAAAGAAAAATTAAAAGGTTAAAATTATATTTTACTTAACATTATTGAGTCATAGCCTAATAGTTTTAGTAACAGCACTTATAGAATTATAGGCTTAGGCACTAGAGAGTAGTATCAATAGTAACTTAGTTACTATTAAATTAACTCTATAGTTTTGTTTTTTTACATACAGCTGGCTACACTTATTATAAATACGTGGGTTTAATATCAACATAAAAAATGAGATAAAGTAAGAATTCACGATTGAATCCAGCTTTGAATACAGCTTTAAGGGGAAATAATGCAGGAGAATTTTTTAATGAATATATTTATACTTATTTAACCAAAAAAAAAAAAAAAGCATTTATTAAATGATCATTTCAAAATTAAATGCATACATCACTATCAGAGTTGTGATGGTTCCGAGAATAGAGTGTTCGCCTTACAATGAGGAAATTACTGTGTTACTGCAACTCTGATACTAAACTAAAATTATTTTATTAAATAAGTATGCAGATATTTGAACTCACTGGAATTGATATGATGTTCGTTTCCTGTCACGCATTGGGGGAATAAAACTGAACTAAATTGGCACAGCATCTTTTTTTGATTACTCTTCTTCCTAAACATAAATAAAGGAAAATTATTTAAGTGATGTAACAATCATGCTGATGAGATGAGATAAGAAAATACATCAATTATAAATAAACAGTAAAATAAATGAATTTTTTCAGATAATAAAGTTAAGAATTGATTATTAATAATTAATTTAAAACAAATGTTGTACGTTACTTTTTGATCTACATTGCTTACTTTCCTTTAGTTTTAATGAGTAGCAAAATAAATATTGTAGCACAGCTTTTACTATGTCAAAATTTTTAAAATCTTTTTTTAATGAATTATTTACACGTTTTTCTTAATCCAACTATCAATAACATTAAGGAAAAATACTAACAAACTGTTTTTTTTTATTTTTTTTAATAACTTTACCTGTTGTGAGCCGATTTTTCTATATTTGTTTGGCACAAAGCCAATCCTTTAAATTTTTGTCAACCACTTAGACAAGAGATTCTCATCCTTCAAGGGAAATTGGCGAAATGACACCTTTTTATTCCTACATTCCAGTTTATAAGCATTATTGGAGCACCCATAAGCAACACAAGCACATGGCATCTTGGATACTGAGCTGGAAATAACAATGAAAACAATATATCTTATGAGAAAAAAAGTACATATACAAGTAAAAAGGTGCAACATTTAATGAACACAAATCAGTACCAAAATTTAATATTTGTACTGATTATTCCAGGGGTTTACTAGTTTGTAAATATTTATGATACAATATACTCAATAAATGAAACAAAAAAAAGTAAATAATAAGTAAAATAATAATAAAAATACAAATTCTAATAAAGGACACGGGTAAACATCTATTCTTAGTTGAAAAAGCACATCAATATCATAATTTTTAAAAACACAATCCAGGATTATTTCTTCCTTTAGCTAAAGAAACATTATAGAAATCAATCAAAATAAAGTACTCTTCATTAAAGTAACAATGAAAGAGAAGTTTACCGATAGCTACCCAACAATACTATCACTTGAACTAATAGAGCTACTTGTAATGTTCAATAAACACACAGTTTTAAATAGATATATAACTTTATTTATAGTTAAGAATAATTGTATTATACATGTTAGTCCTCGTGGTTCCATGTAACAACCGCTGACGTCACTGCTCACCTGTTGCCATCTTCTTAAATTCTTCTTGATTCGAAAATTCACATGATGCAGCAAGCGTTTTTAACTGAGTCAAATACACATCGAACGACTGGCCTTCTTGCTGCGAACATGAGAAACATTTATAGCGCTCAAAGACAATATTCTGCCTAGGACCGCAATACTCTTGGAATTTACGCACCACATCAGTATACTTTTCAGACCATTCATCCCCCTGAAATTTAAAAGTATTAAATACTTCAACACCTTCTGTCGAGAAACTGCGACGAACAATCTAACTTTAAAATTTTAACTGTAACTGTAGCGAGGCGGAAGTTTTGTAAACAGAAGGGGAATGATCGCCTCAGAGAGAAGAGGTTGATATGTAATGCTCTTTTCAAAAAAGCTTAATGTTTCGTTATCAATTATGTTTCTTGTTACGTTTTGTGTTAAATATTAAATGTTTTAAAAAGAAATAGTTAACTCCTTTAATGGCAGAACTTGTTACTTTTTATTATTGACATCTTTTTATTTTTACAAGAGTAGCGATCCTTTTTAAAGCGAAAGAAAAGCTTTCCATCTTCTCACCGGGAAAATTGAAGAACAACAGAAATTGCAGGTAAGGTAATTTT